GAGGAGGGGTCAGAGACCACCAGCCATGCTGAGCTGATGAAGCAGTGGCTTCTCGGTCATGTGACAAGTGATCCCATGTGAAACTATGAATGAACCACATGGGCTACAGAGGACATTTATTCTATGACAGTGGGTTCTATCTGCAACCCTGAAGATGAACAAGAACAGAAGATAAGGTGGGTGTATGTGCAGAGACCAGTGTCCTTCTGCTCCCTAGGGAGGCCAGGATAAAGAAACAGTACACGGGAGGACTACTTCCTGAGAAAAAGGGACTCAACTAGGGCCCACCACTGTCCTGCCACATGTCTCCGGATCTCAGAACAATGAGCCTCTCACAGGCAAGCCGTGTCCCACCTGCTTCTGCCAGATCTCCAAATCCGAGCCCAGTTCAACTTTCACACAGAGGAAGACTGTGAACCCTGCTGAATGAAAGGACTCAAGCAGAAAACATGTCCTTACAGGTTAAAAGAAAAAAAGTGAATTCATATGATACAGAGATTTCCACATAAAGGAAAACTTGATGGCTTTTGTTCCAAGTTCAGGCCTTTTGCTTTCTTTTTTGTCCGTGTAAAGAACTATCAGCACACTTTATTCTTGTATGCCAGTTCTTAAAAGGCAATGTGTGAGCATTGTCTATTAAAATACAACATACTGGGGTGGCGCCTGTGGTTCAAAGGAGTAAGGCACTGGCCCCATATGCTAGAGGTGGTGGGTTCAAACCCAGCCCGGCCAAAAAAAAATAAAAAACAAACAAACAAAAAAAAACCTTTATAGAAATGAAAAATGTAGCTTTCTATCTATTTATATTTTTATAATTTTGTAGAAGAAAACCTAGCCACTTATTTATGTCATCAAGTAGGCAATGAAAAATCCAGTGTGGCTCTCTTTTATCTATCACTACAGCAGCCAAAGCAAAAATTACAGTGTATTCAAAGATTCTTCCACAGTGTTTAAACCACTGGGCTTGATATCAATAATCAGCTAGCTTTGTATTTTAGAAATAGTAATATTATACAGGGAGTCCATTAAGTTCATGTGTAATTTTAAGTTGCACATTATTTATTTTAAATGGCACATGAACTTCATGGACCCTGTATTTTTTAAATTCCTGTGTAAGGCCTGCCTAGATTTCATAAGGGCATTTGATATACAGTTTCTACAGGTATTGTGTCCAACATCATATTTTTATTCTTGCATGTAGAAGTTAAATTAGTCTATACCAATTCTGCATTTCAACCAAGCCTTCACTTTGCTCATAATTAAGACAAGAGGGTTTTCTGAATGCTGTCTGGATAATTAGATGCTCATGCTGTAGATGGTTCTGTTAGTCAAGAGACATTTAACAGAAGTATCTACAAGAATTGCCTTTTAGCTGTACTGTGCTATTTCTGGATGGCCGCCAAAGACACTACAGCCCCTATGTTAACTATTAGTTCAGTGAAGCTTAAAGCATGACAGCAACTTTCTTACCTTTTTGTTTTCTAGTCAATAATAATAGGACAGATAAGATTGTTGATTGTTTTACATAGATGTTGATTTATATCAAAGTAAATGACAATAAAAGATGACTTCCTCCCACACCGAAGGAAATAGAGAAGAGTGTTAAGAGCTTTGTTTGCCTCCCAAGTCCGCAGCGCGTGTATGAGTGACACACCTCTGTTACTGCAGATTTTGCCATCTGGAGATGTGCAGCCTCGCTTGCTTTCCCAGGGGGTGATATCGCACTGGAATTCGCATTTATCTCCATGCCAACCAGCCTCGCAGTAACAGTTTCCACAGTAACACTTCCCGTGGCCTTTACCCAAAATGAATTTTATACAGTGAGGAAAAAAAGCAACTTTTAAAAGCAGAATTAACTTTCTACCTCTTTGTGATCGTTTTTTGCCTTTTGAAATAATATAGCAGCTCCATATTCCTTGCTTAAAATAATCAAATTATACAGTTTCCCCCTAAAAAATATCATATACAAGGTTCTGCTTATACCTGCATAATTATGCAAATAAATTAAACCAAAGTGTCCTTTAACTTTGCCCAGACAGGGAGCTGACGGAAATAAAGTATTGTTAAAAGAAATGACATGAAAGACTATTAAAATCTATTACTTCTCCATCTCAATGGCGCATCCAATTGAAATGTATGTAAGCCTTCACCCCAAAGACAGTTCTTAAATTAGTATTTCAAATATTTCATTTCAAATCAGCTGTTGAGAAACCAGCAGTGTATATTTATTTAGCTATACATCAGAGTGACCACACAATATTTTTTTTTGAGCATCTTTCATTCAACTGTGTTGCACAAGCAGTTATAGTTCCACCATGTGGAAGAGAGGTTTTCAGCCTGGTAAATGCTTAGTCATCCTTTAGACCAACAAAATGGCAAGGTTCTTTGGTCTCACAATCAATTTCCATTCTACCTGTCAAGGGGGCACAAATGATAGGTAAGGGCACCCCCACCGTGTGTCTAGTCACTCCTTTCCACTCTTGCCTCTCTGTGATGTGTTCCTGCTCACTGTCACACCCTTGCCTTCCCCACTCACATCTGTCAACCCTCCTACAGAGTCCTCAGGGAATGCCTTTATCCCAAAATTCACTTCTTTGGCTCTTCCTTCTTTGTAGTTAATTGTGTCACCTACACATGAATGTATGTCCTTTGTCCTGTTTTGTTTTTAACCTATTCTTCCTGTGTTGCAGGAGTTTGTGTTTTATAGATTTATGGCTGAAGTCTTTGCTCTTTCATCTCTTTTCTCTGATAGCCTATCCCCAGAGGGCCCATGCAAAACTGATCGTGAGGCTATTTTTCTTCCTCCGAGTAGCATATTTTCATTATTAGGGCCTGTCAAACTCACATAAGAAGCAGGAAACAGAATAGCACTTTCTGGTCTCCTACACTATTCACGTCTAAGGGGAGACTTCCACCAAGCAGACGTACATTAGAAAGACAGAGACAGACAGATGAAGAGGAAGAAAGCTGTAGTGACAGGCAGAGAAAGGGACTGAGGCCAGAGCATGCAGTGCCATGCTTTCTGTCTACCTGGGGTATCCATGGTGAATAACTTCTTAGCCTAAGAGATAATGGCCGTTTTTACAACAAATTGTAGTTTTAAATTTGCTTACTAAAGCAAATGCAAAGACTATCAAATGATTTTACCACTAAAAAACTATATCATCTCTACATTTTATTAACTTAAAAAGATCTTGACATGTGCACGCAGCAGAAATATTTTCTGGTGCTATATCACAAGCGACAGGAATTCAACACTACACTGGAAAGAAGCCAGACTGTGCACTGATCACCTTTTCTAGGAGTCGGGTTTTGTAAGATCAGTCAACTTATTAGACTAGAGAATTTATTGTTTCCCTGTAACGTCAGGCTACATATGTTAAGGATATTGTGATATTAACAACACTATGTTGTGATATTAACAAATTATCAACACTATATGTTGTGATATTAACAAATTATCACAAATATACATTGCTCACACCCAAATTCTTTGAATATTTATAAAATTCTGTATTAAATTAGGACTTTGCAAGGAAATCATTGAGTGTGCAGCTATGAAAAATTAAATCAGATATCCATATAACTCCAATGACAATATTGTGACAAGACACATCTGAATAATTCAGTCAGAATGCACACTTCACAAGGACAATGCACATTCTAGACAATAAACATAATTCTTTGCTCTGAGTAAACTGATAAAGCAAGAAAATCTTTTTTTTTTTATTGCTTCACTGATGGACTATAGAATCATCTCTCAACTGACTGGTTCTATGTAAATGACACATGGAAAGATTTACAATAGAGAATAGAGACTAGAGATTTACATAGAGAATGCATGGTCTATGCATTCTTGGGTGACCAAGGCAATATCACCCCCAAGGGTATTTACTGGAGTGCTGGTGTCCTTGGTCAGACTTTGCTCCATGAAATTGCTTAATCCTCAAATGGAAATAATAAGTAGAAATTTTGAGAGTAATACATTCACTGTTCTTTGAAGCTAATTTTTTATATTTATAAATGCAAATAGACTTTGCCTTGGTGGTATGTTACAGAACACAATGGCTCCAAAGAATGTTCCCTTCCTCTTTCTTAATCTGTGATAATTAGAAATGAACCATCAAGAGGACAAATACGTAATATTTGTGGGTGGATTCAACTAATCGATCTGGACTGAGCCCTTTAGAAAAAAATTGTCGGAGTAGCACCTAGCTTAGGTTACTGGCTTGGAAAAATGAATAGAAGATTTTTGTGTTTGCTTTATGGTGGTGCACTGTGCAGCTAGAAGACCAAGGAGAAAGAATTGAGTTGGCCTAAAATAAGAGTATCTGGATGACTGCAGACATCAAAGCTACAGAAATCTAATCAAAGGGACAACTTGTCATATCCTGGTGACACTTTTTCAGGGTCCTCTGGTTCCTCCTGGCCTGATCTGCCCCCATTTCTTCTAGGGAAATACTTTTCTAAAACTAGTCTTTCCAAAGGGAGGACAGATGTCCACGGACAGGTTTCTTGTCAAATATGAGTGAAATATAAATTCAGAGACGAATTCACCTAAACAGAATTTAGGTGATTTCCACTGCTTTCCTTTTCTAGTATTAGTGAAGGTTGCAAATTGAAATTCTGGGCATGGCTGGGCTTGTAGTTCAGTAAAGAAAAGAAAAGAAAACATTGGTGGTGAGAACAGACTCTCCTCACAGAGCTCCAAACTCCCTGACACCGACTCAGTTGTGAGTGGTTGGGGGCAGCAACACGGTCTTTGGTGTCAGACAGTCACAAGTCTAAATTCTACCATGATTTGTGCAGTGACCCAGGGTAAGTTACCTAATTTTTCCAAGTCCCAGTTCCCACATCTGTCTCTGTGCATAAAAATAATTCCTACCCTAGAGTGATTTATGAAACTTAACACAATAACCTAAAGCCCTTGCAGCAGTACTTGGTACCGTCAAACACACAAAAAGCGGTACAAGAGAAAAATGGAGGAAGTGACAGTGCTATATAGAAAACGTCACCAAAAATGTTACTGAAGGGTAGAGTCTGTGAGGAGGGAGGACGTAAACTCTAGGCTAATAACCCCACTGGCCTTCAACGTCCCAAGTAGGGCAGGAGATTATCTAAAGGTATGTGGTTTAGAAAGGGGAGGAAGACTAAAATTAAAACATACAGCTAAAAGAGTAGGAAAAAAAAGACCAGATAAAAGCAGCTGAGCTGAGCAGAGAAGGCGGCATTCCAGGACCGCTTCAGAGCAATGCAGTTGGCCTGTTGCCACAATGATAAGGCTCTCCTGTGGGGACAATTTGGTCTTGCATTCAAGAAGTATCAGTCCACTCTTAATGCCTCAGTCTAATTCTCCTTATGTGAAGTATTTTCCAAACAAGCATAGGTTTAAATTGAATTAGTACACCTAGAGCAGAGATTCATACAGAGATGAAAGCACAATGAAATAATAAAAGCAAATACTTTTAAATTAATTTCTGCAGAGTCAATATACATACCTCCACATATTTCTTCTGTTTCATCGTCTATGCATTCTCTATCATCACACTCACAAAATTTACCATAAACGAGTCCTTTTCCATCTGAATTATCACACTTACACCTGCCGCAGTGACATGTACCTAAACCATTAAAACAAAGAAAAGATCAAACATGCATATAAATTATCACCAATGAATTTTTATCCTGTTTCAAGAGGGTAGATAATTTAAATTGATTTAATATTCTAGTTATGTATCTCTGTGGGTTTGACGAGGTAGGGAACAAGCTATTCTTTCCTGAGATTATTATAGCATAGCAATTATAACACACAGCTATTATTATTGATCTCTAAAAGTTTAATGAATGTAAATTCGACCTCTCCAAGTACAAAGCTACTATGTTTGGTACGTGTCCATCCAACCAATGCAACCAGTGAATATCTTCTGATTGCAGCTGAGTCTGCAGTGAATTAAAGCAGAAAATTCTAGGCTTTGTGAGGGAAATAAACTTGGTTATCTTCCTCACCAGTATTTACTCAACGCTTTGCACATTGTTTGGACATAATATTTATATAATGAATATTGGTAGAAACAATTTGTTATCAAATGCATAAATGAAAAACCCATGTGCCTTAGATAATTTCTCATTGTCAGCATTAGCTGGTCTTCATAGACGTGTTCTTGTAACAATGGGACCAGACTGGGTTTTCTTAGGTCTTGAGTCCTGGAAACTCACCAGAGTATCAAGGGACCTGACAGTGACAAAGAGGTTCTGAAGTCATCTATTCTACCACTGGCCATATATTCATCCAAGTCATGGTTTTATTACATCCCCAAGAGTGAGTTAGCTGAAAGTAATATTGCATTTAAATAATGTTGAGGGGTAGAAAAGTCACTTGAGGAACTTCCTTTCTAAGGAATATTTTTGAGGTTTTAACTCATCATCACAGCAATCAAGGCTTGATCACTCACCAGAACCCCCCCTCCAGAATCTGAAAATCCAACAGGGGTTCAAGCCGGCCATAATCTTCCTCTCACAGTTTTGTTTAAGTAAAAGCAAGGTGATAAAATACAGAAGTGCAAAGTGTTGCAGAAGCACCTAGCCAAGGGATTTCCCAGAGACCTGGGGGTCAGAGACAGAGTCTCTGAGGAAGTGAAAGCCAAGTGAGAAGAGCATGGCCAAGAGAGGGGACACGGTGAGCAGGCTCACAGCCAGCAAGGGACAACTGCACAAGCTCTGTGACAAAAAGGGACAGAAAAGGGACAAAAATCAAACAGGACTGAAGTATACAAGTAACATGAGAAAAGGTCTGAAATAAATAAAGCAACAAGGGTGTGTGCAGTTTACAGACATCTTACAGGTCATGTAAAAGATTTCCAACCTTAAGAATGATTAGGAGACAAAGAGGTGCGCTCAGCAAAAGGATCACATGATCCGGTATGGGTTTTTTTTTTTACCAGATTACTGTGGCTGCCATGCAGAGAATAAGTGAAATGAAGCAAGTGTGAGATAAGGAAATGAGTAAAGAGGCTGCTACATTTGTCTGCAGGAACGAAGATAGAGGCTGAGATAGACGATGGCAGTGAACACAGAAAGAAGCAAATATGTGTGGGGATGTTCTCTGGAGGAGGGGACCGCACCTGGCTCCTGACGGGGTGAGAGGTGCAGGAGGAGAAGGGACCAACATGTCCTGATATTTGGCTTAGGCTGCTGGCTACGGCATTCTGTGTGTGGTGCACTGGAGAGCGTGGATTTCCGACTAAGGCAGCCGTGTAGCTGAGCCCAGGTTTAGTCCTCACTAGCTATGCATTTTTGAGGTCATTAATTTCATCTCTAACTCTCAGATTCCATATCCACAGATAATCTCTTACTTCATAGGACTTCTGTAAGGACCAAGTGATAAATGTATCACCTATGTTTTTTCTAGAAACACTGCTGGGCTTAGTGCATGGTAGACTTTCAGAAAATTTTGGGTTCTTTCTCTTCTCCTATTAAGATGTGGAGTATGTTAGTCATATTTCCAAATATTTTCTCCAAACTCACCTTATACTTATGGACCCAGACAATGTCCTTATTTTGTTACCTTTTGCATGATTCCATTACCCAGATCTCTTGCAATTTGTTATTACCTATACAAGTTTTTCTCACAGTTTTGCAGAATTTGAGCTTGTTTTTCCACCTTAAGAATGCTCTTGTGAATGTCACTTTTATTTAGTATCATTCTCTTATTACTTGAAACCAAATGCTACAGTTCATGCTACTGGTTCATCTGAATTTTGTTCTCCAATTAACACTCTTCTTTTTTCTTTTCACATCTATTCCTTCTGCCCCTCATGGATCCAGTTATTTAACTGTCCTGTTACGTAATAGGTTACTGTCAAAGAACCAGATGGTATTAGGAATAATGAGATGGTGAAAATTAAAGAAATCATAGACCAGGAAGAAAGAGATAGATAATCAATACACTTTCTATAACACTGCCCACAAATACGTTGTGAATGCCTCTGTGCACACGTTTTTTGATTTTACACACACACTTTATATACCTCTTGCCACATAAATTATACGTAACCAGAAGACACAGGATACAAAGGCATCTGTTCCATGGCAAATGCTATGTAAAAATTTTAAACCTCATTTTGGGTTTATGAATGAAAGACAAAGTGAAGGTGAAAACTATTGAGGTTTATCTGGCATATGAATAGAATTCCAACAAGTGGAGATGAAGAAGAGACTTTTGATGTCAAGAAAGAAAACTCAGGATAAGGAATAAGGATGGAAAATTAAAGAACAGTGATCTCTGGCTTGAGTTTAGGTTGAAGGTAGATAGGAAAGGGTCAGAATATGGTAATGCAGTTTATAGGAATTTAAATTTTATTTGGTGGAAGACCAAGAACCTTTTATGGTTTCCGAGGAGAGAGCAACTTGGTTAGGGTTGTATATGCAGAAGTGTTTTTATAGGATTTTTGTTTTGGAGGTTCTTCGGAATTTTTTTTTTGTTTTTCTTTTTGTCAGAAAAGATGGGAAGGAACAGTCTCTGCCTCTGAATTGTGCAGTTCCTCACTGATGTCCCCAACAGCAGGCTCACTCCATCCACACCTCGGAACCATTCCTGGCGGATACGGGAAGTTTACAGCAGCTCAGAGACTTCCTGTCTCAGCCATCGGTAGAATTCACAACTGAGCCTCCAAGACATGTCATATGGAAGCCCAGGCGACAGTGCCAGACTCCTGTGCTCATGCTGTGTCACGCTGCTCCTCCTTCTCGGGTGCCAGTTATCTTAGTCTCTGGGACTGGCCTTTAGCTTTGTGCTAGATTATTTTAGCTCTGATTTTTCACAGTGCCTAAGATTGCAGACTCTTTCCAGGATGACTTACCAGACTTGTACACCAGCCTGTACCCCTGTGCAGGGATGCTGGGGTGCATGCTGAGCCTCACCTCTCTGGGCCCCCACTGAGTGAGTTTCAGCTCTAACTCATCCTGCCCTTCAGCCTTATGCCACACTCCCTGTACCCCATCTACCTCATCTTCCCCTTCTGCTCCCAGCCATTCCCAGGAAATCACAATGTGATATGAAAGAAAGAACTCAAAGGCTAATGCTGGGCTACTGCAATTTGGGGGCAACAGTTCTCAATTAGGCTGTTGGGAATAAGTATTAAAAGGAAAGTGAGGCAGGCGCAGTGGGTCACACCTATAATCCTAGCCCTCTGGGAAGCCGAGGAGGGTAGACTGCTTGAACTCCAGAGTTCAAGACCAGCATGAGCAAGAATGAGACCCCATTTCTACTGAAAATAAAAAAATTAGCCAGAAGTGGTGGCAGGTGCCTGTAGTTACAGCTACATGGGCAGTTGAGGCAGGAGGATCTCTTGAGCTCAGGAGTTTGAGGCTGCTGTGAGCTAGGATGATGCCACAGCACTCAACCCCAGAGTCACAGAGTGAGATTCTGTCTCTAAATATTTTTAAAAAGGTAAAAATGAGGTTGCCAAAGTAAACCGTAAAAGGCTTAGATACTGAGATGAGAGTGAGAAAGAAAAGATGAAATGTAATACTGAGTATGAACTTAACTTTTGCACAAGAATCTCACCTCTGGTAATTTACCCTGAGGATACATCTCCAAAAATACAAAAATACATATGCACCAGATCATTTTGCGCATTGCAATTTGCAAGTTCAAAATATTGGAAATGGTCTAAATGCTCAAGCATACGAGGTTGAATAAAATATATCACATGCATGGAATTCAGTACTGTGCTTTTGGAAAAAGAATGAGAAAGATTTATGTCAACTGATATGGAGTGAATTCCAGATACATAATATTGAGTGGCAAAGGCAGAATGTGGCAAAACATAGATAGTGTACTACCATTTGCACTAACAATAAATAAAAAATAACAACACACACATATAACCTTTATAAAGAAACAGACACAGATAAGGTAGAAATAAGCCCAGGTGGTTACCTATGAGGTTGAGGGTAAGCAGGTGGAAGGTGGAAGGATGACAGTGATGATTCTCGGGGCGTGCGTTCTTGCCTGGGTTTAACTTTGCAAGCATGTTACTTTTCTTCACATTGTATAGTATAATTATATAGAAGAAGATGAGGAAGGGTTAAAAAACCTAAAACTGAAAGCAATCTAAAATAAATCATCTCAACTGTACTTCAAATGAGAACCATAACCACACTAAAAGAGGAGAAAATAAAAGAAATCCAAGTAGCTTATGAACATAGCATTTGACTACAATTCTCAATCCTCTGAAGAATGAATTCCTTGAGCAGATCATGCCAGTTAGGCTTCATAAGTGATCACAACCTTGTTTGATTTGCAAAAAAAAAAAAGTGAAATTTACTTGATCCACTTCTTATAAATGCCTATATAGTAAAGAAAAAGAGAACTTAGGTTCAAGCAATCAATAAATTCATATAACTATAGATGTTCCTACAGAATAGATCAACTTTACAACAGCCATCCATCAAATATTTTTCTTTGCTTTACTTTAGAGTTCATCTTATAAAAGTATCCTTTTGCATTCTCTTAGTGGAGAGACCTCTTCCAGTTTAGAGCCGCCCAATTCATGAATTATTGTTTACTCAAATAAACTCCTTAAAAAAATAAATATTATGTATATATATATATATATATATATAGAGAGAGAGAGAGAGAGAGAGAGAATGCCTCTGTTTACATTTTCATACTAGTCTGTCTGAGGAAAGAGACAAGAAGTAAATACACTCCAGTAGAAGCAAACATCCCCAGTGCTTTACAATTTTTATCCTAACATCATTATTCACTGAAAGGAATCAAGGATCTTTGGAGAAGTGGCTGATTCCAAAGCTGTGGCAAAGCAAGTACAAGACCCTGGAATATTTTGTTATGCAAAAAAGTAAAGACTGTTAAAAATGAAGCAAACAGAAACAACGGAGACACGTCACAAGGACACAAAAGTCATGCTGAAGAGGCTCCGCTGTCCCGAAATGAATAATACATCCTGGAAATAATAGGAACTGGGGTTCCAGACTGATAATAAATCATTAAGCAAATGAAATATCCAATAATTGGTAAATGAAAGAGAATTCTCATTTGTGGTAGAACACTGAGTGTCAACTGGTAAAATATGGAATGAATATTGGAGCTCATAAATCATCATCTTAAAATTATCATTGTGAATACTAGATCAGAGAAGTCATCAATGGATGATAAAGGCAGGGTAATTTTATGAGAAACAGAATACATATAAAAAAGCTTTCAAGTGTTTCCTCATAGACTGCTTATTTGTGAAAAGCGTAAATCAGTAATAACAGAATTGAGACATCAGACAACACCATGGCCAGCTGGTCGAAACTGACCTCACCAATGAGAGCAGACGGCTATCATGTCCTCCCAGAGAGAGCGTCTTGAGTCCACAGAATCATCTATCTGTTATTTTACCTAAGAATGTATAATATGCATCTTATCATAAAGAGGCATCAGATAAATCTAACGCAACATTTTATTTTTCTGAAAAAGGTTGGGACAATTTTATTGAAAAGTTTTAATGCTAAAACCTAGCATTTTAACTTTGAAATAAAACTGTGAAAATGGTCCAGACTAAGAGGCTAAAGAGAGATAAAAACTAAACACAACATTTTCCATAGACTGGATCCTCTAAGAAGGGGGGATACTTACTGTAAAGACCACTACTGGGTCCCTCGACAAAATTAGACTATAAATGATAGAGTAAATGATTGTATCAATGTCAGAAGAGAATACAAATATCACAGAAATGGGTCAGTGTGTTTTGTACTTTATCAAACATATTTTCTCCTTCGTGGTATCTTAATGTGGTGAAGTATCTGATTAGATTCCTTAATGCTGAAACACCTTTGGATTCCTAAATTAACTCTTTTTGGTTTATAACATATTATTTTTTAAATATCTGGATTTTATTCACAAGCAATAAGTAAATCTAAAAACAGAGAATTCAAATCCAAAACAGAATTCACGTCTCGCTACTGAAAGAAGTTTGAAAGGAATGACTTTCAAGGTGAAAGAGGCTATGGGGGAGGTGTGTGCACGTGTGTGTGTGTGTGTGTGTGTGTGTGTTTGCAGGGTGACGGTTACAAACTGGAGGTGGAGAAACCCTCCTGAGAGGAAGGAAAGTGTGAAGTGCTGGAAGTGAGAAGGACATCACACACCCAGAACGTGACCTGCCTGCTAAGACCAGTCGTCTTGGTTTCCTGCCCATCAGCTCACACCTCTCTGGGCGTGGGCCTAACTGCTATAAGCAAAGCACCCTGGCTGAGTTTAATCTCCACAGGGTATTTGTCACCATCAGACTGTGGAAAAGTCCTGGTTCTGGCTGTAGAAGGGCCCTGCAGATCAGGCAAGGTTTAGGAGGGCAGATATTCGCTCAGGCAGTCCAAAGTGCACCGTTAGTGTGTAAGGCAATGAACCGAGTTCCAGACCCACAGTAGAACCACTCTGAAGGACCACAGAAGTCCAGACCACACCGCCAAACAGAAACCTCTGGTGTAGGATGCAAGCACTGACATTTACCACTTTCCCCTCGGGATGTTCATGTTGGATCACAGCTGAGGCACTGACTCTGAGGCTGCACGTGACTCTGAGGCCAAATGTTAAAAGAGTAATTATAGTAACACCAGCTAAATGTCATTGAATCCCAAAGTGCAACTGTTTTATTTTATATGGTTTTGCTAACTAATTTTTAAAGCATCTCTGTAATTTTTTAAGACATAATTTTAAATGATTTCTGTGAAATGTAGAAAAAAAAGTTCAAACACAAAATCTTGCTGTCACTATATTCTGCAATGAGCTTTGTAACCAGAACTTCTTAACATCTATCCAATTAAAAAGATTTGGTTCTATTTGATGTGACGGTATTAATTCAAAGCATCCTTGTTCTGTAACAGAAAATAATTAAGTCAGTTTATATAAATCCATTTTTAAAGATGTAATATAGTATTCAAAATCGTGGCTCCCAATTCATACAATGTGGCTGGGGTGCTGTTTCCATTGAATATCCTGCTAGGAGAGGCATTTGGAGCAGCTGGAGAGTCTCCAACTTGCCAGTCCCAGCAAGATGAAATTTTGTTTCTATTGATTTATCCAAATTTTACTTCTAAAAAATATACTCGAATGTAGTCTCACTCCCTTCAACATTTCTCCATGCCTACCTATTTCTATTACAAACAAAATTTAATTATTTCACTTAAGAATTTTCAGAGGCTATGCAGGTCATTCTTACCTGCGTTCGAGCAGACGACATCTTGAGAATTCTTACACATCTGGTTACTTTTCTTCTTTGTCAGGTCACAGTGAGTTGGGTATTGGCAGGCGTCTCCAGACCATCCCTCGTCACATTTGCACTTGCCACAGTCACACTCCCCATGGCCTGAGGATTGAACAACATCCACTTAGACTGCGCTGTAATAAATTCAAACACATGGGTATCACAGTGGCTAGTGTGTAGTGCTATTATACATAGTAGGATGGAATATGGAATACGAGAATTTCATTTGAACAATCAACTTTGATAAATGATTGTAAAAACCATCAAATTAATTTATAAAGGTAATACATCAAAAATCTAATAAATTACATGGTCAGAAAATTCAGCACTGTAAAAGAAAAGAAAGTTCCACCCTCGTCATTTAAGAGAAGAAAAGCCCAGCAGAGATTGCTTCTCCTTACCTGTACCTTATAACACATAAAGCCACAATCTGGGGTAGGGCAGGTTACAGGAAGCTCCACTCAGCTAAACGTTGGCCGTATGTTTACTTGAATTAAACATGTAATGAAATTTTACAGAAATATAAAATATCATCTTGGGATAAGACTAACATTAAAAATAGGTCTATATTTTGTTTTATATTCATCTGCTTCCACAGAAACTTCTCAATCTTTAATGCTCTCAATAGTTATTTTGCTTGATGGCAATGCTGTTTTTATTTTTGTGATCAGTAACTGTATTAAGACCTGCTAAAACCTACTAATAGGCTCAGCGTCTGTAGCACAGGGGGATGGTGTCGGCCACATACACTAAGGCTGGCAGGTTCAAACCCAGCCTGGGCCAGCTAAACAACAATGAGAACTGCAAT